CATAAGTATACAATATTTTTTGGGTAAATTTTGTACTTTAGCTTGATTTTAGGATACTTGTAATGAAGGTTGTCATAGTTTTCATTCATTTCAAAGTAGCGAGTGATGATTCTTAAATTGGCCTCGTCGAAGGTATAAGATTTGTGCGAATATTTCCTTGGTGCATTGTCAAGCAACCCCAATGCATTCGATCTGGGCCTCCATTTGCCATACAATGGGCTCTGGACTTGGGCTTCAGAGATTCTGAATACTCTTTGACATGTTTATTGGGAATAAAAAGACTTAATTTAAGCCTTATTATAAGAAAGATCTCTTTGGTATATAAACGAAGAGCATTACAACCCCTCGGTGGGTTCTGGTTTTAATGGAATAACTCTCAATTTATAAACATTGTTTCGATTCTAGACACTACTATTCTCACTGATGATACCCTAAGAATACTTGGTGTTGTAAGCTTATCGGTCATGAATTAATGTTATGACTTACTAGTAGATCTCATGTTTATATTGACTTTCAACTTTTGCTGCTGCTCTTATTCAAGATCCACGGATAGCATCTATACTTATAAATTCCACAAAACCTTACTTATTTGCTTATGAATTTAATATTAAGAGTAATTTGGTTTCGATGTATCCCCTTAGATAAAATTATTGGTTGGACTTTTATTTCGCATGAAAGTATGTAAAGAAGAGATTCGAAGGTCAATCTCACTAGAAGAGGACGGTTAAATCTCACTGTACTGGTGATATTGACCTTCGGAAATCTCTTCATACACTTTCATACTTAATGAAAGTCGAACCAATATAAATTTAATGACTTTTTTAGTTTAGATTTAATATCGCAATAGTGATTTAGCACATACTCTGACTACTCGACATATTTAAAGGCTAAGAGTTATGTCGTTTTTGATGTCTGTTTTCTTCCGACGCCCTTTACGATTTTATTATAAATATGGCTATTTTTCATTTCATTCTCAAAGGAATGATCTCAATAGGAGAAAATGTATCTATCAGAAAAGTTCTTTTCATTCTGAAATAGCTTTTATGTTGGGAGGAAATCTTGATTTTTTCCCTTTATTTTATTTACAAGATAGATTTGACATCACAATACTTGTCTATATATTCAGTAAAATTCTAATTAATTTATTTTCCTATTTGATATTTGTATGCTTTTAGGGCCATCCTGTAAATGTTCCGGATAGTGCTGGCTGGCTCCCTATTCACGAAGCTGCCTTCCACAACCATGCTGATGTGGCTTTATATCTCCTTGATAAAGGTGCACTTCTTGATGATCCTGGGTTCCCAGCTGACAATTCCACTCCTCTTTTTGAGGCGGTTGTAAATGGCTCCCTGGATACAGCCTTGTTGTTGATTGAACGAGGGGCTGATATTTGGCATAGGTAGACAAATACTATATTGCTACATACTTTTTTATCATGTGACAAAGTCTTTACATTCTATCCAAATTTCTTCCTAGCCAGTATGTGATCTCAAGATGATAGCCTCCATTGGAGGAAGAATGTGTAAATGTGTTTGCTAGACTTTTATACCTTTCATTTTTAAATTCATTATCTGTTTACTTCCTCTCAAAATCCATTCTGTATAATAAATTATAGGATTGTGCACTAGCTA